GAGGGAACAATATACAAACGGTAACAAATATTTGTGTAACTATCTTCTCACAAAATAAAAGAAAATACCAAAAAAATAGAAGCCTATTAGGCTATTAATAGAGTATCTGAAAAGACATATACAAAAAAGTTTATGGTGCTTGCTATATGATCTTACGTCACGCCGATATTCCCTTCGATTAACAAAGGAGTGAGAGATATCAATGCAATAACTAATAGTTGCATGAGCATTATCACTCCTTGTAATTGCTTCCTCGAGTTTATCTAGTCTTCTGCATTCTATGGCGATTCCTATAGCTTGTTGGTATTTTCCATCCACGATACATCTGAAAAAAAAAAAGAAAAAAAATGTCACATTTAAGGTAAAAGGAAATCACACAGAAATTTTGGCAACACAAAATAGCCATATCCAAATTTCAATATTTTCTATGTGAAAAATGCGTTGAAAGTGGTAATTACATTAAAATATATATATATTTAAAAAAATAAAAAAATTTTTTTTTTCAAAAATGAGCCCCCACGCCCCTGGCTCTAAGGGCATATGATAATGAGTCATTCAGTTCCCCTAGCTAATAGAAAACCTGATGGCAGAAACATAATAAGTAAACATGCAAAGAACACAAAAAAAAGGCAACTAATGAGAAAAATGAATGCCTTGTTCTAATGAATAAAGGGATATATAATTCTCATAAGAATATTACCATAATATGGACCGGTAGGAAAATTTAATGAATTTAAGGGGAAAACAAGATATGGAAAACCATCTATGTTAACCCCTCCCAGTAATTTGCTTAAAGTTGCTGTAGAACTGGGTGTTTGATAAGATGTGTTAATAGGTTGTAAGACTTCACCATCATAAAACTCAAATTTCTTCTAGGAACCATATTGATGTAATAAAACTGTCCCTCAAAATCTCCACACTACAGAGGAAATATCATATCAAATCATTGCAACATCCCTACTGCCATAACAAGATCTCTTGAAAAAGAGAGACAGACGGCAGCAGAACATAGGCAAGAATACCTTGCTCTGAAGGAGGAAGCCGACGCTCATGAAGGTCATGTGAAACAACTTGAAGAAGAAATTAGGGAGCGAAGAAGGAAGCACAAAGAGGAGTTGCAATGGAAACGTCTGTAACCACAACAATGGAAAACCCAAAAACACAATGAGTATACCGGCATAAACAGAATACATACAATTCTGATAAAAATTCCATCGATATCTATCTAATTTTCCACAACTGAAACTCTTCTTCCAATTTAACCAAGAGCAATTCAATTCAAAATACTAAATCATAATGCCTCATTAATCTCTCGGAGAAGGCATTCTGGAGTGTATTGTCTCTTACTGGGACAGTGCGTCTATTGCGATTATCCTTGTCTTACGCCTTCCTATTGAATCGGCACCCTTGACGTCCTTGTAGTCGGCACAAAAACAGAATGAAGAACCAGTAAAGGAAAACAACAGAGAAGGATTGAAATAAGTGGTTCTGCGCCTATATGTAGAATTTATCATAAACCCAGAAAGAAAAAGCTCACTTAGAATTGCAGACATCAATTTCAAAGATCAAGAACAATAAATTAAGCATCAAGATTAGCTTGAAATAACCCTCAAAATCTTGATTACAACGATGCTGAAGAAAAAATTTCTAGGCTAAACCCTGAACCCAACTAATCAAGATTGATACTAATGAAACCAATTAGGTTTCTTTGATCCAAATAAGGATGAAACGACCTTAGGAACTGAAAATCATGAAGGGGCAGAGTTAGATCAAAGAGTGGTTGAGAGGGAAAAGAGAAGGAGAAGGGGATTTTGATGGAGATTCGAGTCTGATTTTATAGGGCAAAACAGCATTTGATAAATTGTTAAAAAAATTGAAAAAAGAACAAAAACAGAAATCTGTGGAATAAAGAACCAACTAAAACAACAACAGCAGACCAAATACCGTCCACATGCCCAAACGGCACTCCCCCCNGGAGAGGCCGAGACGCCACTAAAACAACCATCACAAAAGAAGAGACGGATGGGGAGGGAAAAAAGAAAAACAGAAAAGGGGAGAGGAAGCGCCCACCCCCGACGAGAGAGCAAGGAGGGAGTTCAGAGGGCTAGGGTTTTTAGAGAGAGGGAGGAGCGTCTAAGAGAGAGAGTGAATTTTTTTCTATTTTGAAAGTAGAGGGGGGTGGGGTGAAAAAAAGATTTTCTATTAAAACTCCGTTAATTATTCCGTTAAACCAAGAAATTCCGTTAGTTTTTCCGTTAAACCAACAAAATTCCGTTAGATACACACTTTTTATATATAGAAAGATACATACCCATCCAATAGACACGAAATAACCTTCTAGCTGCATTTCTTCCTCTGATACTAGAGGAAGTGATAGGTGTCTTCTACATGCTTATAATTAAACTTGAATCATAGTTGTAAAATTGGGATCATTATTCAAGTATAATGAAAAAGACCAGCATTGGATCCAAATCATAAAGCAATGACTAAATTGAAATAAGCTAGAAAGTTTAGAGTTGATCGTGGTTTGAAATAAGCCGACGTCTCTTTCAATATATTTGAGTATCTTTTAGAAGTGACACTTGTAATAAAAAATGTCGAGGTATAAGCTTATTGTATAGGGAGGTTGACCCTTTATTAATATATTAATTGTATGAATAGAAAATGATGTCAAGCCTCAACTAAGGAGATGAGGCTACGTGATTCTAATTCAACGGACATCATGTCGGCCAAGACTGTATAAATAAATCCTCTTTGTAATTTAGAAAGTGTTGGCAAAATTGGAGTTATGATTCTTATTTCTCAAATCTCGAACTCTCAAATATGGAATGAGCAAGAAATATTGACAGATATTCTTACAAGCATTTTCATCTCGCATTACACACACTTGGTAGAGAAATATCTTAATAGACAATCTCATAATTTATATCCTCGGTTGTTTTCTATCCTTCCAAATATTTTAACGAGATCTTGGTTAGTGGCTATGGGTCTCGGTTGGTGATCATTGTTAGCGTGATCATCTTTGTTTTAGCCGCCGGAATTCGAACATCTTTGTCTCTCACCGTTTGATAGAAAATGAATTAATTTAATTAATCGCGATTAAACTTTGTATATCAAATTTATATTTTGAGATCTGTTATATGATTGCAGAAAATGTATTTGATTTTGTCATTATGAAAAATGATACTCAAAGTAGAAAACTAGAAAATACTTTCGTTTGAAATTTTTAAAAATAATTATATAATATTTTATTCTATGAATTTGATTATTTAGTAGAATAGAATAATTTTATGCTAGTGTATTATCAAGTAGTATATACATTTTAAAGTGGAAACTTACAAGAAAAAAATTTTGCTACAGAAAAAATCAATAATAAATTGACTTTGCAAAAGAAAATAAAAATAAAAATTAATTTCTTGAATTGAGAATTATGAAATGTGATTGTAAATAATAAGATTACAGCAAACAATTCAATAGTAAGTGAACTAAGCTTACATGCTTAAATACTGCTAGGAGAAATAAACAAAGTTGATAATTAAAACAATAAAATAAATCTACGAAATCATATATGAGTAGTTGAGTAGTCATTCCACATTTATATAGCAATGTGATATAGACTTGTCCATTTGAGCTGTTTGACTAACATCAAATTGTATTTGATCTTCACTTGATTCTGTCTCATCTTGAAATAATATATTATCTAATGAATATTTAGTGAAAAGACCGTCCAAAGCGTATTTTTAGAGAATGAAGTTATGTATTAGGTAACATGCAATATCCTTAAATTTTTCTTTATCATATTCTTAATTTTAATATTTTATTAATCAGAAAATGTTGCCCTTAATCTTAAATTTCGTCCAAAACTATTGTTAATGTGCTTTAAAATAATGTCAAATATTTATTCGTATTTTTTCCGTATTATTTATTTTGCTTATTCGAAAATACAATGGACAAATGAGCCCTTTTACTATATCTAAAAGAAAATTTTGAAGAGAAATTATAATCTGAAACAATTTATGTTAATTTGAGAATAAGATTGCGATAGAACATGTTTGAGACATAAATGTGATAATATATAAAGGTTACGAACCTTCAATACAAATTAAATATAGTATAATTATTAAAAGAATAATGTTATCTGATGCTGGAGTACAAATTTAGATGTCAACACTTGATATGTGCAATTAAATCGATGTTTTGACTTTATATTTAAATGTACAAATCATTTAATGACATCTAATTTCCACATAGAGTGGTGTTAAATAGTATTACTCTTTCTAAAAATTGTGGTGTGAACATATTTAGCCATCAAAAAATTCCTACTAACTGCTGTAAAAAGACAATTATAACCTTGTTGGTTAGAATAATAATATGACACTCAATTGGGCTTTCACTGGACCCACTGCAAATGTAGTTGAATTGCCAAGGGCCTAAAATCCATTATACCAAAGCCCAATTTATAAATGGGCCCAAAGGTTCGGAATATTATAACCCTACACATATATATTCCACCACCATTCCAAATCACTTCATCCAATCCAAGAACCCTAATTTCAGACGAAGGCTGTGTAGCGACCTTTCAGATAACGTCTTCGCTACCTACGCTGTGTTTCGAAGATGAAGGTATTTCTCTCTTATGTATACAAATACTGTATATATACATATTCTCTGATCTAGAATAGATTTGTATTTTTTTTAGTTATTTTAATTTGGATTTTGAATGTTTTGTAGTTCAACATAGCAAATCCGACCACTGGCTGCCAGAAGAAGCTCGAGATAGACGATGACCAGAAACTGTATGTCTCCATTTTCGATTTTATGCTTTTTTTTCTTGAATTTTCTGAGGTCTGATTGCTGTTAAGGCATATTAGGCACGTATACCTATTCATATACCTTTTCTTTTAAAATGATTTATGTATGTATTTGATTAAATGAATTGGTATGTGTTTAAATTTTTGAATTACGAATTGTTTTTGCTTGCATCTTATGGAATAGAAGTGCAATTGGCAAAATGAGATAGGGTTTATAAGTGAATACACAAGAACATTATATCCTTAATGCAATTACCAATTATCCACTTTTTGCGTTCTCACATGTTTAAATCTGCTACTTCTGTGAGCCACAGTGTTTTGTACTTCGTTCTGCTTATTTTTGAGTCAATTGCTTTTGTTACACATTTCAGCTGGACTGTATGTAGGACCTATTGGAACTATTTATTTATATTTCTTTGAGAGCTTATCAAAGTTGGCCAAAAAAAGCGGAAGATTTTGTTATGTCATTGTTCTAGGAGCAGATCTTGTCCTTACTAATTGTTTTTAGCAATAAAAGAAGCTATGGGAACCGATTCCAATGTCATTTTTTTATCACTGATTTACGGTAGAGTAGATGTCAATTTCTGTTTGAAATATAGACTATAGACTAAAATGCCATTCTCTAACCAAATATCAGTTGGATGTAAACTTTTAGGTAATATGCATTTCAATCTTTTTGCGAGTCAGTAATTTATTTTGAGATATTTTGTTTATGTTCTATTTCACTGGTTACTCCATGCTTAAGAAGCACCCAATATTTGAATTTTTTTCTTACCGAACAATATGAATATGTAAAGAGATTCACTGCTGGTATTGACATATTAAAACTGTAAATTGCAGCCGCGTTTTTTGGGATAAGAGGATCTCTCAGGAGGTCAGTGGAGATGCATTGGGTGAGGTATGATATCTTTCTTATGTGTTAAGTTTACTTGTTTTGTACCATGGTTATAGCACCCACAAAATGACAGTCCTATTCTAACGTGGATAAAACTTATTGTTTCACAGGAGTTTAAGGGCTATGTATTCAAGATTATGGGTGGGTGTGACAAACAAGGTTTTCCAATGAAGCAGGGTGTGTTGACTCCTGGCCGTGTTCGCCTCTTGCTGTACCGAGGTATGTATGGTTGATTACCTCTTCAATGTAGTGTTCTAATTAGTTGATTACTTCTCGAGGCAAAAGCGTAATAGAATATTTGTTTGAACAGGTACCCCTTGCTTCCGTGGGTATGGTAGGAGAAATGGAGAGCGTAGAAGGAAGTCTGTTCGTGGATGCATCGTTAGCCCTGATCTCTCTGTTCTGAACTTGGTGATTGTGAAAAAGGGTGACAATGATCTGCCAGGACTGACTGATGTTGAGAAGCCAAGGATGAGAGGACCAAAGAGAGCATCAAAGATCCGCAAACTCTTCAATCTTTCTAAGGAAGACGATGTAAGGAAGTATGTTAACACATACCGCCGAACTTTCACCACCAAAGCTGGTGAGTTCAGAATTGCCCAACTTTGTGGTTATTAATCATGTCATAACTTGAGGCTTGTTCTTTTTTAATTGTTGGAATTCCAGTTTACTATTAAGGAGAGTTCAATTTTGTCTGTTCGTCTTTTGACCTGGTATACCATGTGATGACAGGTAAGAATGTGAGCAAAGCTCCTAAGATTCAGAGGTTGGTGACTCCCTTGACTCTGCAGAGGAAGAGAGCTAGAATTTCTGATAAGAAGAAGAGGAAGCTAGAATGTTAGCAAAGCTCCTAAGATTCAGTGGCTGGTAACTCCCTTGACGTTGCAGAGGAAGAGAGCCAGATTTTCCGATAAGAAGAAGAGGATTGCCAAGGCCAAGGCTGAGGCTGCTGAGTACCAAAAGCTCCTTGCATCTAGATTGAAGGAGCAAAGAGAGAAGCGTAGTGAGAGCTTGGCTAAGAAGAGGTCTAGACTCTCAGCAGCCTCTAAGCCATCTACTATCGCTTAAGTTCATCAGGATGCGATTCTGATTTTTGGCTCGTTACTTGGTTTTTTTTTTTTCCCTGTCGTGTTGCTGCACGGTAATTTTGACCATTTTTGTTGAGCTTTATTAAAATACTTTGTGTATCGTTCTGTTGGTTATTAAATATTTTGACATGTTTATTAGTTGAGCAATGCTATCTAGTCTCTGTTAACATCTGACCTCCGAGGTCGACTAATCCAAGTTATTTTATGTGACGAGTGTATGATAACGGGAGTTCGGAAATGTAAGGTCATATCAGTTAGAACTTGGCTTGTGCAGTTTATCGAGGTTAAAGGAAACATGATGATTGAAGGTTACTGACAAAATATATATACTACCAATCAGTGAAATACACTTGGAAAGGTCTTACATCAGTGTCCACTTAATTCACTAATCATTAACTTTAGCTTCTTTTGTTAAGTAATTCATTAATTATTAGGGAAGCTAGAATGTTAGCAAAGCTCCTAAGATTCAGTGGCTGGTAACTCCCTTGACGTTGCAGAGGAAGAGAGCCAGATTTTCCGATAAGAAGAAGAGGATTGCCAAGGCCAAGGCTGA